TGGGGATTAGTAAAGTTTACTATAAATTTCAAAATTAGTTGAAAAACTAAATGTTCACAGGATAATAAGTAAAAACTTTGAGAAGGTGGATGGATATGAGAGATACAGATAATTATTCAAAATAAAGTCCATAGCAATAAAGACCACAATGAACAGAGTGTATAAAACCTAGAAAGTAAAGTTTCTATACCTCAGGAGAATGTGAAGATAATATGAAGCCTTGCCTTCAACCATTGAATATTTCCCAAGTTAAGTGTTTTCTTAAAAGGTACGTGAAGCCAAGGTTTATATTAGCCATGGTTTTGTATTAAGAGCTTGCAAATCAGACCTCTGAATAAGAGGTAAGAAACTGAAATTCTGGTGACATTGGGGCTATGTCCTCAACATGAGTGAAGGCCATAGGATCCAGTCAAAAGTGGTTCTCCATGAGCAGAATTTCATTGAGAGTGTTGATATGGTGTCAGGAGAAAACATTACTTGGAGGCAGATGTTAAAAGACAATCAACAAGGAAAAAGTTTCTCTGTGCATACTAACATCCCATTGGGAAATGCTGTTCTCATATGTGAAATGTGCCTAATGAGCAGACATTCAAAGATGTAAATATATCCCTTCTACTTTTGCTCGTCATGTGCAACCTCTGTCTGCTCAGAACATGGCTCTTTGCATTGGCATCACCATTTACTCAGGAAATTAAGCTTGATTTTGTCTTCTCATCTCTTCTTATTATATAACATTTGTCTTACTGGCAACCATCTGGAGTTTAGAATTCCACACAGAGACCTTCCATCTTTAAACCACCAAGGTTAGTGTGGGAACATAGCTGATGTGGCAGGAAAAAAATCACAAGGCAAAGAACAACAACAACAACAACAACAAAATTTACTGCAGTCACTTTAGAACCAATCCAGAGCATCTCAGGGATGTCAGATGATTGTGTCTATTTGCTGGCTTGTTTGATTAATTCAGTTATATATTCACCATATCAGAAGGGGAAATGGATACTGAACTCAGCAGAACAGAGTTTACATTGAAGATGAACTGATGGTGATGGAAAACCAATCAGTAGAGGAGTTGAGAATCTTCAGGTGGCTGTATATGAGTATGAATTTCTTAAAGATGCTGTGGTTAATTAGGTGGAAAAGAGAAATTGGGTACCACATGCAGAGAATTGTAGAACAAAGTGAAGGATATATCTGGATTTTGAGTTGAACAACTACTTCAAATTGCTTTTTATTAAATTAGATTTTTCTTGTTGCCATAGCTTTGATGTAATCTCCAGTTATAGTTTATATACCTTTGGAGTACTCCTCTTACTTTACTGAAACATCTCTATCTTCTTACATATGAGTTTCCTCACATTAATTAGTCAAGATGAAAATATCTACCACAAACATACCCTTATGTTCACCTCTAATGCATGCTTTAATTTCATAATTATGCCACTATTTCCTGAGTTTTTATAAGATATGTGAACTAGAGGACCAATTTTATTTTTTTCTTCCATTAGATTGCCACTGATACCAATTTTTACTTAGGCACTGAAGTTTCTCTAACTCCATTAGGCTACAACATTGTCATATGTTAAATGTATATATAACCTGAGGTCATTATGTACTGAGCTTCCGCTATGAGCCATGCAGTGAGAGGACCACTGTGCATTACTAATTCCTTTATGGGTAGGTTATTGCCAAGTAAATTGGCAACCTCTACTGGTAGCATTTGATTGTTAATATTATAGATGGTCTTTAACCTAATTACTGATGCCTCGTTCAATTTGGTTAAGCCTGTTTTTGATGTTGTTTGGAAATCCCAGGATTTTGCATTTTTCCCCTTTGACATTCATGCTAAGACCCATGTCCTTTTCTTTCCCTTTATTATATGTAATGCAGAAATAGTCACACAGCACATTGAAACTACAAAGCAGAGTTCCTGTTCATGTGGATCTCACTTTAGGAGGTTGAGTCACAGCACAATGGAATAAATGGAGGTACACATAATGCCCTAGAGATTAGCCATGCAGAGTTTCATAGGATGTGTTCTAGGGGCATCTTTGCATGTTGGATGGAGCCCAAGGTAGGACCACACTGTACCCTTCAGATTTGGCCAAACAACTCAAGCTTCACTCACACTGGGAAATAAAAACAGAGATCTGTCTTGTGTGCAATTCTGCATAAAATGCAATTATTACTGATGGCTACCTCTGTGTCTGTTTGTGTAGTTTTGTTCCCCACAGAGCAAAAAATACTAATTGGGATCCCCCATGGACTTTAAAACATTGATCATAATAGCATAAGAAAATAGAAAATAGTTAACAGAAACAGAGTTGTGGGACAAAACTAGGAAAAGGTTCACCAATTGCATTATAGGAACATGCATTTTGGTGTTCTCTTGTTCAGTAGAGAGAGAAAATTTAAAAATAATAAATTAAATTGCATGTGAAAGATCTGCACAAGATCAAAGTCAGGCAAAACCCCAGCACATAAAATCCCACCCCTAGCTGAGGAGCTAGTGGTGATTGGTGGCTGCTAGAGGAGGGAGACTCAGTCTTCTTTGAGAGGTTACCCAGGATGGAGTAGATGGCCCCATACCCATGCACATACTTTCAACACTAAGTGGAGTTGGTGGGTTTCAAAAAAGAGCACATTAAATTTGGAGAGAGACATGAGGGTAGGGATAGAGAAGGAGTGAGACAAAAAAGAACGAAGGATTTGACCAAAACAAATTATATACATAAATGAAATTCTAAAACAATAAAAATCATGTATAGTATATTTTAAAATACCTTCAAGGACATTCCATATTCCTAGAATAATTAAACAATACCTACTTGATATGAGTAGTATACACATTAGCTTCTTTTGATCACTATGCTCATATGAATGCATGTATTACAGTCTCACATTGTAATTCATAAGAGCATACTATTACTATGCTCCAATAAAAATACAACATATTACAAGTTCCAACTAGTCAAATTTATGCTGACACTATAGGAAAAAGCACAATTATAATATTCAATATAAAGCTCCCAAAAATTCTGCACTTATTTGTATATTTCTTTTCCAATTTTTTTTCTTATTCCTTTTATTTAATTTTCTTCATACAATCTATTTTCCTCATGATTTTCCTAGCCTTCATGTTTTCTTGTGGAGGTTTTTAGTTATATTTTGTTTGTGTATTTTTGTCTTATTAGTTTTTTGTTTGTTTTAAACTTGCCTTTGTATTTTTTCCAAATGCAAGTTCAGCTATTGTTGTATCACTCCAAAAGATATTTTTACTTCTACAATGTAAATGTTTTATTTTTGAGATTTTATTTTTTGATCTTATAGGCAATATTCTTATAGTTGGAGGGCTGGTGAAATAGAGCTTTTTCTTCATTAAAAAGTCTCCAGAAACACATGACTATTCAGTCTCTCTCTCTCTCTCTCTCCCTCTCTCTCTCTCTCTCTCTCTCTCTCTCTCTCTCTCTACCTCTATCTCTCTCTCCATTACAAATTTATGTATTTTTTCATTTGAAGTGCCAATTTCTATCCTCTTTGAACTAGTGTGTCATTTGTCTCTCTTCATATATCAACTAATATCACCATTTCTAAAGGTCATGCTATTGCTACACTTGCAGGTGTTTACGAATATACATGTAAATATTGTAGACCAGGAGCCACACATAAAGGAGTTTGGGTCACCTGACTATAATGGACTTCCCAAGGCTATCTATTTCCCTTCCAGAAATACATTTTGATTCCAATGCCTATCACATTTTATTTCTAACCATGTGACATAGGTTAGGAGAACATGATTTTAATGTGGTCCCCATGAACCACAGCATGATACAAAGGCTGGAACACTAAACCAATGTATGATGATAGCAAAGAGATGCTTTTCAATTTATATGAATGTGGTGATCATTCTTATTGACAGGGTATAGACTAACCTAGAAAACAAACCTATCAGTATGTAAATGAGGGAGATTTCTAGACTGGGTTAAGTGAGGCAGACAGATTTTTCCCTAAATGTGGGTGACACCACCCCATGGGAAGCCTGGGTAAAAATGAAGAAAATGAATTGAGCACCATTATTCATCATTATCTGCTTCCTGACTGTGGATATCCTGTGATCTGCCATCTTGTGCTTTTGCCTGCCTTACTTCTCAGCCATGATGTGCCTTCAAACCATGAGCAATTAACCTTTTCTTACATTGGTATCATCAAGTATTTTGTCATGGCAATAGAAAGATAACAGATACATGAGGATTTCTGCAAACAAGTTAAAATTAAAATGCACTGACACATGAACAGAGAAATGCCATGGTGTCTTGATATTTCAACATCAATAAAGTCATTTTATCCTGCAATATCCTCTTTCATTCATTATCCTAATCACTCTGCCTTCTGGTTAGACATATATTAAAGCAAACACCTTACTAAGAGCATTTCACTTCTGAAATGCATATATACATTCAGGAAACATAGCTTCCTTGTTTTCTTTCTAGGGGTAACTTTTCACTTGTCATTTTTCTCTATCCCCTAAATACTCAGTACAAAGTAACACACCCTATATACCATCTCTTCTGTAGCTTTGTTTTCTTTCATTGTAAATATCACCAACTTACATCTTTCTTACCCTATCAGTTTAAGTATTTATTTGTTTGTGTTATTTCATCCTCATGTGATTTTAGAGACATTTGCATGCTGCAACAGAAAATTTCTTTCCTGAAACCTGGCTGTCACATAATCATAGCTAATTTATGTTCCCCAAATGCAGGGGATAGTTAGCATTCAAAATTTATGACCATTCAAAACCCAGTCAGAGAAAGGCAGAGTGTGGTATGAGGTTTTTAAATCAGATGTGAAAGGGTCATTTACTATTGCGGATCCCATTCATATGTAACATCTGGGAATTCAAGTCATGGATATGGGATATACAAGGCATGTTTTTTTCTAAGGTTTCACAACTGTGCCACATATTTTCATCCCTTTCTCTTTTCATAGGCTACATCAACTAAATGGGGCCAAAGAACGACTCACAAATTTCACATTTTCTCCTTCTGGGAATTTCAAAGAACCCAAGACTGCAGTTTCTCTTATTTGTGCTATTCCTGGCCATGTACTTGATCACCATGCTTGGGAACCTGCTCATCATCCTGGCAACAGTTTTATGCCCCCACCTGCATACACCCATGTATTTCTTCCTGTCCAACCTATCCTTGGTGGATGTCTGCTTCACTTCAACAACTGTCCCAAAGATGTTGGTGAATACACACAAACACAGTAATGTCATCATGTATGGGAATTGCATTGCCCAGATGCATTTCTTTATACTCTTTTCAGGGCTGGAAATCTTTCTGCTGACTTTGATGGCCTATGACAGGTATGTGGCCATCTGTCACCCTCTACATTATACTGTCATCATGAGCCCTCGACTCTGTGTGCTGATGGTCCTAGCATCCTGGATCATGAATATCCTTCATTCCACAACACAAAGCTTAATGACATTGCGACTGTCCTTCTGCACAGACCCAGAAATCCCACACTTTTTCTGTGAACTAAATCAAGTAGTACACCTTGCTTGCTCAGACACCCTTCTTAATGACGTGGTTATCTATTTTGCAGCTGTGCTGTGGGCTTGCTGTCCCCTGATGGGCATCTTTTACTCTTACTCTAAGATAGTTTCCTCCATACGTGCAATCTCATCATTGCAAGGGAAGTACAAAGCATTTTCCACCTGTGCATCTCACCTATCAGTTGTCTCTTTGTTCTATTGCACAGGCCTGGGTGTTTACCTCAGTTCTGCCTGGACTGGAAACTCACAGTCAACTGCACGAGCATCAGTAATGTATAGTGTGGTCACTCCTATGATGAACCCCTTCATATACAGTCTTAGGAATAAAGATATAAAGAGGGCACTAAGAATCATTTTGGGGTGGAAGGAATAGAAAAATATTTCACTGAGGTGCTGAACATAGTTACATATCCATGATCACACCACTCAGAGCTCTCTGATGGTATCTTCAGGGTGGAATGTGTTCCCTCTGTTTTATCACCAGAGTCTCTCATTCTCCAATGTCAGCTTCTCTATAGGATTCAGTCACAGAATCCACTTTACAACTGTCTACCCTCACTATGACATTTGCTTTTTTTCCTTTTGTCCTCTTGCAAGTTCCCCAACCTTTTCTTCCGTCTTTGGATCAGTAAATACTCAGAAATCCCCTGTGATCATAGAGAACAATGATTACAAATAATTTCCTTGCAAGGGACATGTATCAGACTCAGAATTTCTAAATTTTTGCTTATTATTCATGGGTGTGTGACTGCATGATACATACATGATGACCCGCATGCTGTGACTAACATGTGGAAGTCAGAGAGCAATTTTGTGGAGTCAGTTTGCATCTCTCACTTTTATATTGGTTCCAAGGATTGAACTCAAGTCTTCAGGCTTTCCCAGCAACTGCCTTTACCTATTTTGCTATTGCTAGACTCAGTAAATTTAAGGTGTAGTGAAAATAGTCATAAATTATACTGCTATAAGAAAACATTTTATTTTGAAATTATGGTCCTTTCTGGTGGCAAGAAATCAGATACTAGAGTAGTTCAGTTTCTGTTTATTATTTCATCATGCCACATTAATAACCATCTTTCCTAATTATGTAAACAGTAATATATTGCCATGTGTAATGGTTTAAAATTGGATTTTGTTCATGTATCTAGGATCCTATATCTATTTTGACTCAATCAATGTCTGTGGTTCCTACCATAATGTCTGACAAATGTCATAAGGGTTGTCTAATCCATGTCCTTTTGTGGTCAGGTGTGTGTGTGTGTGTGTGTGTGTGTGTGTGTGTGTGTGTGTGTGCATGTGGGTGTAGATGTAGCATGTTCATACATATGCTTACAATATAGACAAAATTTTAAGTAATAACATTGATATGTAAATGGTATGCAAATTAGTGCTATATTCTGCTTTTTCCTTATGCATTAATCCAATAAATAATCACTTAGATGGATTTCTCTTTTTTAATTGCTGTTAATACTGTCACAAAAGCATGGGTGATTTTTTTCCTTTGTTGATTTCAGTTCCTTTGTCCTACAGTTGCTATCATATATATGACACTGTACCAGAATTTTTCTTGATGTTGTCATTGGAGGAACTGTGTAAAGAATTTCTTTCTGCCATTTCTCATTCCCATGTGTAACTTTTTCAAAATAACAAAATAAAATGTGATGCTATATATAAAAACTCATATGAGACCATGGATGGGAGTGTCACAGTTATATACTCACAGTTATATACTCTCCTGTTTAAAGCCAAGTGGCATTTTTCTAGAGACAGCAAGTTGTTCATTAACAACATTTGAAATTTCAAGGAACATAGACATGAGAGGAAACTTTAATTGACTGTAGTACTTGTTATAAGATAAATAATCTTGAGGGCAGAAACTTGAGGAAGAAAGAACAATAGTGATTACTCTAACATTTAGTCAGGTCACCTGGGACCAGATTCTTCAAGAAACATTTTTGTTGCACACAGAACAATGTCCCACAGGGTTTGGAGTGCCCAGGAGATGAATTAAGAGAAATGTCCCCAATGGGCAAGAGAAGGATCAGTTTCCTAGACTTTCTGTCCAAAGTCTTGTACGTAATTTACTTTCTATTCTAATTTGCATTATCAAATTATCTTTTAATGTCTTTTAAACCTATTACACTTAATACATCTATAGTGAGTTTCTTTACTGGTTTTGGCAAACAGGGAAAACTATAACTATACTATTTAGCCTTCTATTCCCTCATAATGCATGCATCTGCAATCACTATATGAATCATGGAATTCCATACCCACTACATCAACTTTTTTCCTTCCATCTGAACAGGATGTCTTCTTTGTGAATCTTCAGCCTACCTCTGTCTCCCCACTTACTGGACTGGAAGTTCCAAAGTAGCATAAGTAACTCCAAATGTGGACTTTGCTTTGAGCGACCAGAGCTTTCTTGTCCCATTGACAGGAAATGCATCTGGAACCTGATACATAATATTGATTTGATGTTAGCTAGTCATGCATTTGAGCACTGTTGTTTGGGGTTAGGCAATAGAGGAACTGGAGTTTTCTGAGGCAGCAAGGGCACAATTGTCCTAGAGAAGGTTTGTGAGATTGGTAAGGGTTCTTTTGACTAAGAGATAAGCAAAGGAGAGCAGTATCAATGTGATGCTGCTCTTATTCAGCATTTTATTGCATCTCTTATGTTCTTTCACATCCAAGCATAGCCTAATAGATATGTCACGTTGGCGATAGGGAAGGGGTGACAGGACAAACTGTAGCATTCCTCTCAGATAGAAAGGAAACCTTATTATACAATCCAATCTGTGGTTCTACCCTAGGAGTTAGCACAGCACCTGGTAATACCCGTGACCATAGAAAGCTCCAAAAGCAAGAAAATAAACAATGATTAGTTCCCCAAATAAAACTGGGTTTTTATTCCACTATTCAGTGAAAACTTAAATTCTAAAGTTTAATCAAACACATTTTGTCTCCTTCAAGTCTATACCTCATCCTCTTTAAGAAGTTTGTGAGATTCATTCCTGATAGCCTATCCCTAATGAAAAAAGAGTGAGATTTATCCCTTGGTTCTGTTGCTAATCTGAGCATTGTGAAGGCAAAATTGAACACTTCTGAAATAATAGAGCATTGTGGCATTGCAGTGAAGCACTGCATCTCATTTCAGCAATTTAATGTAAGAATGGATCATGGTGTTACAAAAATGAGACAATGTGTTGTCAAAAGTAGAATTGTAAGATCAAAATTTAACATTGTAATTGAAAGCATTGTGCAAATTGAAGCATTATGGTGACACAATTCACTGTTGTGACATGAGCATTCAGCATTGTGACAGCAAACTTGATCATTATATCAAGGCTCACAAAGATGTCTGACGACAGCTGGCAGCACTGTAATGCACACTGAAGCATTTTGACATTAACTTGTTGAAAATTTACATTATAATAATTAGTTGTACTAACATAATCCTGAATTGTAATTTTGCAACACTATATTGTGTACAAAGTCCTCTGTTGTACTCCAATACTTGATGTTTTAAATGATTTTATGAATTGTTGCATCATAATGCTGCATTTTATCACAATATACCATTTTACTATTCAACTGCCTTTGGCATCACATTGCTAACTTGTGAGAAAACAAGAGCATGACTTAGATGGAATCCCACTCCAGCCTGGATAGCTCCCCATTTCCTGTGAACTAGGTTATTCTGATGGCACAATGGGTCATTATGAGGGAATTGGCACAAGAGAACAATGAATTATCACAATTAATCTTTGTGATGTTACTCTTACAAGTGAGTATTGTAATATCAATATTAGGGATTTTGAAACCATGTCATCATGGAAAATTGTAATGCTAAAAAACGGTGTATTTTGATATTATAATGGTGTATTGTAATGCAGTGATGTTGCATTGTGTTAGAAAATGGTATATTATAATGAAAAAGTTCATCATTGTCACATCACATTGGCTCATTGGGATGTCAAAATGGATTGCTGCAGTATCACAACTGAGCACCATGACCTCACAATCGGACATTGTGATGACACAATGGAGAATTAAAATTCCACAATTCAATTGTGGTGGTAAAGAAGTTCACTGTGGGTTCCCTATCCGCCCTGACCTCTGCTGAGGTGAGCGTCCCCTCTGCTCCCACCTGTCACCTGCCATCACCCCTTTCTTGGATTTTCTGGGCCTCCTCCTGGCATAGAGTGGACTCACCCAGACAGAGAGGACTTCCCTGAGTCCAGAAGCACTTCACTCTGGGTTCCCCCTCTGCTCTGACCTCTGCTGAGGTGAGTGTCCCCACTGCTCCTGCCTAACTCCCAACATCACCCCTTCCTTGGATCTTTCTGGGCCTGCTGCTGGCATAGAGTGGAAGCACCCAGACAGAGAGGACCTCCCTGAATCCAGAAACACATCACACTTGGTTCCCCCTCCACCCTGACCTCTGCTGAGAGTGGGCCCACCCAGACAGGGAGGACTTTCCTGAGTCGGGAACACCTCAACCCTGGTTACACCTCTGTCCTCCACCTTCTGCTTGAGTGAGGAGAATATCGGGAGAGGCCAGACCATCCAGAGCTGTAGACACTGCAGTCTTGGCCAATGTATGCCACCAGGTGACAAGAAGACATAGAGAGACCCACATGTACACACTGGAAGAAGAGATGGCAAGATAACAGAATAAGAACACACTCAACAACAGAAAGTCCAATATGACACCATCAGAATCTAGGGACTTCACACCAGCAAGACCTGAAAAGCACAGCACAGAAGAAGTGAAGAAACAGAACTAAAATCTATTTTAGGAAGATGATAGCGAATCTTAAAGAGGAAATGAGAAAATCTCTTAAAGAAATAGAAGAGAAAGCACACAAAAAATTCAAGAAATAAATAATTCTCTTAAAGAAGCCAAAGAATACCAAGAAAAACAACCAAACAAGTGAAGGAAGCAATTGAAACAGTTCAAAGCATGAAATCTAAAATAGAAACAATAAAGAAAACCCAGAATGAGGGGATGCTGCAAATAGAAAGGCTGGATAAATGATCAGGAACTAAGGATGTGAGCATAACCAATATAATACAAGAGATGGAAGAGAAAATCTCAGTTGTTGAAAGTTCTAAAACAAAAGGAAGCAACCGCATCCCAGAGGTGTAGATTCCAGGAAATAATCAAAACGAGGGCTGAAATCAATAAAGTAGAAACTAGGAAAACATTGCATAGAATCAATGAAACAAGGAGTTGGTTCTTAGAGAAAATAACAAGATGGGCAAACCTCTATCCAAACTAACCAAAAGGCAGAGAGAGAACATTCTAATTAACAAAATCAGAAATGAAAAGGGGGATATAACAAAAGACACCAGGGAAATCCAGAGAATGATCAGGACATACTTTGAAAACCTGTACTCCACAAAATTTGAAAATCTAAAGGAAATGGGCAATTTTCTGGATAGATATCACTTACCAAAATTAAATCAGGAACATATAAGCAAATTAAATCTACCTATAACCCCTAATGTAATAGAAGCAGTGATAAAAACTCTTCCAACCATAAAAAGCACAGAGCCACATGACTTCACTGCAGAATTTGAACAGAAATTCAAACCAGAGCTAACAAGAGCTCCTCAAATTTTTCCACATA